AGTGCCAGCCACATGCACGAGGGTGGTGGGTTCAAACCCAGCCCAGGCCAGCTAAACAACAATGACAGCTGCAACAAAAAAAATAGCAGGGTGTTGTGGCGGGTGCCTGTAGTACTAACTGCTTGGAAGGCTGAGGCAAGAGAATCGTTTCAGCCCAAGAGTTTGAGGTTGCTGTGAGCTGTCACGCCACAGCACTCTACTGAGGGCAACATAATGAGAATCTATCTCAAAAAAAAAAAAAAAGAATTCTCACCACTGTGCAGGCAGGGATGCAGGGGACACCTGTGGGGCAGCCATGGGAGGATGGAGTGGGAGGAGCCTGGTGCTCCACAGGTCCCTTCCCCCTGCTGGTCAATTGTGTGTCAATGGAGAACAATGGAGATGGTATCCCAGGTAGAGCAACCAGAAGGAACAGAGGCAAGGAGGTGTGAACAGCACATGTTTGGGGAGGGGCTCAGGAAGTAGATAGGATGTCATAGGTGGACAAAGGCCAAGTCCATCCAGCTTTATAGGACTGGGGTCTCCAAGGCCCATGCAGAGACCAGGGCAGATCTAAGTCCTGGGCTGCTTCCCCAGGGGCCACTTACCATACTTGGCTGCCTTAGCTGCTGCCTTTGCAGCTGCAGCTGCAGCTGCAGCTGCAGCTGGAGTCCCAGCTCCTGGAAAGACAGCCACAGAGGGTGAGGTCCCTGTCCTGTGACCCTCTCAAGGACACCCATCCCCTGCTAGAAAAGACACTACCTGCAATGCCTCCAATCCCGGGAATTGCACCGGCCCCACCAGGAATGCCAGCCCCTCCAACACCAGGGAGGACTCCAGCTCCTCCAGCACCTGTTGGGATGGAAGATGTGCAATGTGGCCGGGCAGGAAGGCCACTTAGACGCCAGCATTTTAACCAGTTCAATCTCATCGGGGAACAAGGCCTGGGTATCTCTGGGCGGGTCTGCTTGTGAAGGCTCCCACCTCCTGCTCCTTGACTCACCCCCAAAGTGTCCATTTCAACATGCTCATTAAGGGACTTCTGTGTTTTCAGACAAATCCCATTCTAATCACTGCCACATACTGAGAAACCACAAGTGGCTGCTCCCTGGGCCAGAGGGGCCCCAGTAGGAATGTTCAAGGCTTCCTCTCCCTGTGTTCCAAAGACTTGGCCAAGTTTGTAATCCAAGAGCCTGGCTGCCTGGCTCTGGCAGCCCCTCACAGTCCTGCTCCCGCTCCCACGTTCCAGCTGTCTCCCCCAGTTAAGGAGTTGAGGGTGCCTGGGGGGACCTCATGGGGCTTCCATGGGGCAAGCCCAGCTTTGAGCGTCTCCCCACATTCTTGCCCCTTGACCGGAGAGGATCCACAGGAAGGCCTCCCCAGGCACTGCGAATAAAACAGAGGACTTCTCTTTTATGCCCTTCTACCCTGGCACAGGCACAGAAGTCCACACCACCTCTGCAGTGGTGCCATCCAAGGGATTGTTGGTTTGAGGAGTGACTCAAAATTTTTATGGTACACATTAAAGTGATACATAACTGTCATTTTAAAAAAATGCTTGTATATGTACCACCTAAAATTATCTTTCTAACCATCACGGTACCCATCCCTTCTGCTTAGGCTCCTCATTCCTGTTTTAACCACATGGCAGAATCCACCTACATTTTAAAGCCTGAATCAAATGTTACTTTCTCTGGGAAACCTTCTGGATCTTCCCTGGGTGGAAATAATGCCTCCCTTTCCTTGGCTCCACAGCAGCACCCACATTCTCCAGACAGACCTGTCTGTCTCTGGTGTCTGAGAGTGGGTGGGGGGAGGGAGTGAGGGAGGGAAGAAAGGAAGAAAGGATGGAGAGAGGAAGGGAATGAAAGGATGGAGGGATGGAGAGAGGGAGGGATGAAGGGATGGAGAGATAGAGGGATGGAGAGGAGGACAGATGAAAGGATGGAAGGAAGGAGCAATGGATTAATGAATGGGTGGAGGGATGAGTGGCAATAAGGAGAGATGGAGGGATGGAGGGATGGAGGGAGAGATAGTTGGATGGACAGTGTTGAAAATGTTGGGCAAATGGCAGGGGCAGGCAGGGGCCCCCTTGCTTGTCTGTGAGGCAGCCTCTCCATAGAAATGGCATGGGTAGGTTGGGGGCTGGAGCTGGCTGGGTACTCACCGTACTTTGCTGCTTTAGCTGCTGCTGCTGCAGCCTGGGCACCAACACCTGTGAAAGGAGGGTGGAGAGGGAAAGACTCTGAAAATGGTGCTCCCAAATCTGCAGAGCCTATCCAGGCTGTTTTCAGCTCTGAGAGAATCAGCCTGTTGAGGTCTGGGTGTGTGTGTAGGGGGGGTATCTACACAGCAGGCAGAGGCCAGTGGAGCTGCCCTTAACCAGGACCCTTCTCCAGGTTCAGCCCAGGGACTGGATGTAGGATGGGCTGCCTATTTTTCAGGGAAGATCCTGGCCAGCCCCAGGATTCTGGGGCCTGGGTGGTCAGTGCTCCTTTGGCTGGAAGTGGTAGGAGGCTTTCCTTACCTGTCCCTGTTGGGTAGCCGGCCTTGGCTCCCGCACCAGCCACTCCTCCAGGCCCATAGCCTATAGAACAAAGAGGTTCGTTGGTCGCCATGCAGACATGCCACTGCTTCTGCCCTCCCCTGTCCTGCCCTTGGGGCCCAGGCCATCCTTAGTCTATAGCTCATCACCCCAACCAAAGTGAAAACAAATACACGTGAGGAGATTGTTATTCTCATTGTACAGATGAGGACACCGAGGCTCAGAGAAGCAAAATGGTTCATTCAAGGCCCTGTTATGGGTGAATGGGAGCCAAGAGCAAGAACCAGGCTGTCTGAGTCCAAATTTCACACTCTTCCTTTCTGGGGTTCCCATTCTAAGACTTCATCCCTCCCATTCAGGTGCCCTCCTAGCCCAGGGCTGAGGCACCCTTGCCAGGACATGAGAGCCAGAAAGAGCTAAAACCCAAGTCTAGGAGGGCGCTACTTACCATAGGGCAGTTTCCCAGTAGTGTAGGGCAGTCCATAGCCACCTGGGGAGAGGGCAGGGCAGGCTCAGGGGTTGCCTTGCTGGGGTCCCACCTATGTGGGTGGACAGACCTACTCCTACAGATGCTGTGGCCTGAGACCACCCCCATACACAAGGGTCCCGAGCTGCTCCCAGAAGCTCTCAGGAGAGCAGAGGCCTAGGTGGAGGAGGAAAGGGACACTCATCGCCTATAAATCTAGATCCTACCATGTCCCTAGAGTCTGAAGATGTTTTTTTTTTTGAGACAGTCTCACTATGTTGCCCTGGGTAGAATGCTATGGCGTCACAGCTCACAGCAACCTCCAACTCTGGGACTTAAGCGATTCTCTTGCCTCAGCCTCCCAAGTAGCTGGGACTATAGGTGCCCACCGCAGCATCAGGCTATTTTTTTGTGGCAGCTGTCATTGTTGTTTAGCAGGCCCAGGCTGGGTTTGAACCCACCAGCCTTGGTTTATGTGGCTGGTGTCCTACCCACTGAGCTACGGACACCACCCAAGTCTGAGGATCTTCTTATGTCCCTTCCCCAGTGGGAAGCGTCTCATTATCTGAGCCGATCACAGCAGGAGGAGTAGGGGTGCAGGGGGGTTGATGTTGGAGGGATCTTTCCAATGAATTATGCTTCCTAGCATCAATTCAGATGGTTTTCCATCAGGGCTGTGGGTCTCTGTGTGTGCATGTGTATGCATGGGTGTGTGTCTGCATGTGCACACAAGTGAGTCGAACGCTGTGGGACTGACTTCCCCATGTTTTCTTTGGATGATGACTGTAAGTGGGCTTCAATACCCAGGTTTTCCAGCCACTACCAGCCAAAGAGAGACCCTTGACCAGATGGGTGCCCCTCAGGCTGACTCCTCAGCAGGGAGGCCCTTTGAATTGTGACTCTGACTTACCTGGCAGCTTGGGTGCCTTAATGGGGTAACCCAAGGGGACTCCAGGCTGCTGGCCCCCGAATGGTCCAACCCCTGAGGGAATAAAGAGAGCAAGTTCAGGTCCCAGTAATCCTTTCATACCTTCTGCCTCATGCCCCACTTTCTGCTTGGAGAAAAGGGGCTCCCCATTGTGCCCAGAAACCTTCCTGCCTAAGGGCCTCCCTGCTCTTCCATGGTGGGTCCACTGATCACACCCAGTGGCAGAAAACTTCCTCCAGGAAGCTGCGACAGGACTCTCCCTCCTGGGGTTTGGGCCCCTGTCAGGCCTGTAGCTTTTGCAGCCCTTGGCACAGATGGGTGGGCATTCTGGACTCTTTTAGGCTGTTACACAGATGGGGGCTGGGTGGCGGGAGCAGGCTTTGTGCTGCAGCCAGCAAGGCCTGGAGTGCAGGCACTTGACCACAGGCAGGCAGGCCTGGGTGGGGCTGGGTGGGGATTCTGCAAGCCCCTGCCTGGCTGGCCACTCTTGTGGCCCAACCAGCCTCGTCTCACCTGGGATTCCGGCAAAAGCTCCGCCTCCACCTGGAATGACAAAGAGCTGTCACTATGACCCTGGCAGCATGTGCACAGAGCAGGGCTGCACCGAGGGGCAGGCAGGCCAGCTCGTGCTGCCCTGGCACGCACTTTGGGATAAGAGAGCACTGTGCTGCCCATCCTGACCAGCTGTCCCAGTGCTAGAGCAAGGGGTGCCCACCCAGAGGGCCCTGAGTGAGCCCAGGATGTCCATCCCTTCTCACATCCCAGGCCAGAGGGTGGGTGAAGAGTCCCACCATGCCCCCCCACCCTGCCTGGCCAGCATACCTGGGGTCTTGGGCTTCACTCCTGTTCCAGTGGGGACCCCAGGGAGCACCCCTACACCTGGGAACCGAGCTCCTGAGGGGGCAGACAGGGGCCCGGCAGTGAGGGCATGAAGGCAGGTCCCATGGGCCCAGCTGGGCACCCCTCCCCTCCTTGGGTCCTACAGCTGACCTCTTTTAGCACTGTCTGTGACAGGCACGGCTCACGGGGTGGATGGAGGAAAAACCTGACTGGTGGTGACTTTCTCTCCCTGTCTGGCCCAAGGTCAGAAGATCTGAGTTTTAATCCTATTTCCCAGCCATGTGAGCTGGTGCCTCAGGCAGCCTCATCTCTACTCTGGAGTTAATCACAAAAGCTGCCCTGACGGCCCTTGGCAGAGCAGGCAGAGAGAGGGACAGCGGTGTGCGGTGGCCTGGCTGAGTCTGGGGAAGCCTGTGCCTTGGAACTCTTGCTTGTTGCTCACTCAGCCCAGGCTACAAAGCAGCCATTCAGCTGCGGCCGGGGGACCCCTGTGCCAACATCTCCCACCTCTCCCATGTCCCCTGGGGCTAGGCCACCTTGGCCTGGAGAGGGGAGGAGAAGGGAGGGCCACCCTGTCAGTAAATCCTGCAAAGCAGTCTGAATCTGGGCTTTTGGGGGAATTCAGGAGGTCACATGTTGGGTGGGGTGGTCAGGCCCTAACAGGGAGTAGAGGCTGAGGTCGGAGCTCTTAGGGGTCTCCTGCAGGGCAAACTTGTTGGGCGGCACCTTGGTGACTCACAGTTTTTGGGAAATAGCTGGTCACACTAGGATTTGCTCTCAGGTGCCTATCTCAGGCTGTGATGATGGTCTGGGCCTGGGATCAGGGCTTGGGTGGGGCTAGGGGACATGCCAGGGACCTTATGTCCATAAGCTTGAGATTGGATGCTGGGGAGACAGCGCTGGTCAGGACCTAAGGCCTCTGTGGCATTGGCTTGTAGGGGCAGAGGGGCACCAGGGAGGCTGACAGAGCCCTCTCTTTCTGTAGGGTCCCTTCTCCCTTTCCTCACCTGTGCCTGGGAGCACGCCACCTGGGTATACACCTGGAAGCCCCACACCTGCAGAGGAAAGAGAAAGGAGCCCTGAGCAGCAGCACAGTCTCCAGGAGCCCTGATTTCTCCTCACCCCTAGGACAAGCTCAGGGCTCCCAAACCAGCCGTCCTTGTGCCTGGCAGGCCAGCCAGGGACAGACGTAGGGTGGCTGTAGCCCTCCTCCCACGAGTTTCGGAAGTCATCTGCAAACCCTTCTGTGTGTGGATTTATCTCTGTCTCCTGGAGCCTGTTTACATGGCCTGGCCAGCCCACCTCTGGCTAACAACTTCCAGATGTCCCCTCCCTGCTGTGTGGACTCATGCACCCTTTTGTTTAACCTGAAGTCACTTCCTGAAGGGTCTGGTGCAGCAGAATGAACACCAGTTGGACGTCAGAGGACATCAGGCCCACCCATCTCCACTGTGACCTGCAGTGGGCCCTCCTGCACTGACTTGCCATTCTGAGCCTCAGTTTCCCCGTCTGTCATCTGAAAGCCTGACATGGAGCCTGTCTCTGAGATCTGTTCTATTCCAAGATCCTGGGAGAAGGGCTGGGAAGGTAGGCCAGGCCTGGTGTTTTCTCTGCTCTGCTACAGCCAGGCAGGCCCCGCCCTTCCTCCCCCAGTGCAGTGGGCTGGAGGGGCTCTGTTCCTCCCCACCTCTGCCCCTCCCTGACCTCTGTCCTCTAGCCCAGGGGATTCCACACTGACCGGGCACTTTCCCAGGTTTTGCTCCGGCTCCGACTCCTACCCCGGCTCCAGGCTGAGGCACCACGGCACCTGGCACAGAGAGGGCTACGTCAGAGTTGGCTCCACCTGAGCCTGCAGCCTTGACCTAGGGAGCTCAGGACCAGCCACCATACCTGTAGATACTCCTAAGCCACCAACACCACCAATGCCACCGACCCCACCGACTCCGGCAATACCCCCAAGCCCAGCACCTGCAAAGTCAGGAGTGGGAGATGTGAGGAGTCATGCAAGGAACAGTGGGGGAAGAAGGACCATGGACTTTGAGGGCTCAGCATTGAGGTCTGTGTCTGCCACCAACTGTCTCTGAGACTGGGCACAGCCAGCTGCCTCCCCAAACCTCAGTAGGTTGCAAGAAGAGGCTCCTGCACCTACCTCCTAGGCCTGGGGTGAGGGCAGGCTCCTTGAACAGTGGAGAGCTGTGGTAACCAGAGGGCTTACAACATGTCCCCAAGAGTGCCACTCACCAGCTTTGGCAGCTTTATATGCTGCAGCAGCGCCAGCTGCTCCTCCGGGCACCAGAGCCCCTGGGAAGGTGCCGGCAGGGAAGGTTCCGAGTCCTGCGGAGGGGAGGATGGGGTGAGGGCCTGAGCTGACACACCCACAGAGACTCCTAAGTCCTAGTCCTGCTTGGCCCTGTCCCCTTCAGGAAGAGACTTGAGGATCTTCTGGTCGCTGCAAGACATCGATGTTTAGCTACCACGGCTCACCCAGACTGGATTCCGTGCTGGGGGTTATCATGTCAGACAGCTCTCCTCAGCCTGAGAAAGCTGCATGGATTTTTTGGGATAAAACTTCCACACCCATCTCTTCCAGAACGCCTTCCTGAACTCCCTGAGCCTCAGGGACTTCTTCCACTAGCACTCATCACTGTCGTAACTGTACCCAGGTACCCAGCTGTGACTCCCTCATGCCCCAGGCAGCTGCTTGGGGCAGGTGGTGTCAGCATCAGTGTCCAGGACAGAACCTGGCCTGTACCCCTGTACCCTGGCTGCCCCCCATACCTGGCAGGTACCCTAGAGGCATCTTGTCTGGGTGAACATACTTACCTGCTGCAAGGCCACCACCTGCGAGCCCTCCAACACCTGTAGAGAAGAGAGAGACAGGTGAGGAGAGGCCAATGTGTGGGTGTAATTGCTGGGTCCAGGATGAGAAAGGTCTTACAGAGTCAGGGCAGGAACATGGCAGTGTTGTGATCATTATGGAACAGCTGCCATCGTTTAGTGACCCACTTCTATGTGCTGTGCAGATGTGACTGTGCCGAGGCTCCCTGACTAGCCGAGCTGGGTCTGTGCCTCTCCTAGGAGGCCAGAAGCTAGCAGGGGCCAGGAGGCTCCTTGAGGGGGCTGGAGCTGAGCAGTCTGTGAGCAGGACCTCACTCAGGCCAGGTCCCATCTGGCTCCCACCATTAGCCCCACCCCAGGCCTCTCTGCTTCCCTGCAGGTATCCCCTGACTATGTATCTGGGAGTCCTTTCTGTCCCCACCATGTCCTTCTGTCCAGGAGTCTCCTTGCTAAGACATTTGTGAGATGCCAAATGGGTCCCTCTGGCTCTCTCCTCCCCACATCTGGGCCCAATTGCTCCTTCTCCCCCTCCGGGAGACATTCCACAGCCTTGGCCAGGACCGATGGGCAATCAGGTTGGAGTTTATATCCATGCCGGGTTTGGTTCCAATTATGTGAGAATCTCTCCTGTGAGTGCCAGCTCTGGCTGTCAGGGTCCCAAGCCCCAGGGGTGAGACCTCCCCAGGGACAGATCCAAAGGTGTGGTCTGCTGAGCTGTGGAGGGGTCACATGGCTTCCACTGGGTGTGGCCTCCTTTCCCAAGGGCCACTCCCCACTCATCTCCCACTGGTGTGACCTAGGTCCCCTAAGGCTCAGCCAGCCCTCAATAGCACGAGTCTCTACCCTGGGCAGCACCAGAGTGGCAGCTGGATAAGACTGGCTTCCTGGCACCCAGGCCCTGCCCTCTGGCTCTGGCAGTGGCTTCTATCAACCCAGACCTGTTTTTTGAGATTTGAGAGGGCAGGGGACATGCTTAGACCTTTCCTGTTTCCAGAGGGGCCAGGAAGACAAGAGGGGACTGGACAGGAAGTGAGGCAAGGCTGGGGCAGGTGAGGGGTCAGGCCCCCCCTTGGTGTGGTGTGCCTTTTCCCACGGCCTCAGCCCCAGCTGTGCTGGTCCCAGGGCTACCCTCTGGTCTGACTACGTTTGTTCCTCTTGCTCTGTTTCTGTTGCACTCACCTGCCAGAAATTCCCTAAAGATTCTAGCACTTGGAAAGGAAGAATGAGGGGAGGAGCTGCCCACAGCAAGGAGCCCAGGACCTGGCCAGCTCAACCCTCTTTCTTCTAGGAATCAGAGAATTCTGGATTTAGACCCCAATGCCCTGACCCAACCCACTCTCTGTATGTATGAACAGGTTGGTCACTTTACTTCTTGAGGGTCCATTCTCCCATCTACAAAGTGGCCATTATGCCCCCTTCCTTCCTGGGCCCTGTGGGCAAATAGCACTTGGTGTGTGCAACCTGCTAGAGCACCTAGTGGGTGCTCTTTATGCCTTCCTATCCTTGCATGTGCTCCTGTCAGTGGAAGGCTGGCCTCCAACTGCTCAGGGTTTGAGAGTGCAGGCTCCTAAGATGCCTGGTTCCCCACTGAGAGCTGCAGCAGGGTGGGGCGATGCCCGGGGCCGCTCAGCCAGCCCACTGCCTGCGGCACCCACGTGGAGAAGCAGCTGCCAGGCCACCCACCCTCCATTGCCAAGGGATTAATTGTTCCCAAGTACAACAAATGCTGCCTGTGCCCCATTCCATCCTGCCTGGGCAGGCCTGGACGTCCACACTGCCCAGATGAGGGGGCCTTCCCTGGGAGCACCATGGTGGCTCTGCCAAGGCCTTTATAGCCTTGAGTCCTGAGGCTAAAAGATGACCTCATGGTGTCATGGACTCCAGCCCCCTGCCTGGAGACAGTGTACTTTTCATCAGAAGGAGATGACCTGACTTTCCTTTTGGTCTACTCCTTCACCTTGATCTGGAAGTTCTTTCAGAAGTCTGACCTAAATCTTTCATTAATAAAAGCTTCATCATACCAGTCATCCATCCTGGAACTCTATATGCAATTGTCTCAGTCTTCCCTCTGGTGTTTAATTACAAACTACCACGTGTGCCCTGCTGCCAATGGGATCAATCAACATACCCTCTAGCTTTGTAGCAATGACCTTGACGATTTGGGTCTTCTAGGCCCAAGCACAGTCCTATTTCCACAGTTTGCTTATCTAGCCCTTCTCTGTACTCTCTCCATCAAAGACCCTGCTAATATCCCTCACCCCTGCAGGAAGACAGGATGTAAGTGCTGGCAGGGAGTAGCAGTAAGCCTTGAGGTCTGTACAGAGCCCTGGCTTCACAGTTCTGTACAGACCCCAGGAAGCCCCTAGTCCAGGCACCCTGCCCTTCTCTTGCCCCGCCTAGCCCCAGCTCTGGAGTTTCACAACCCAGATGAGCTTTCAGTGAAGGGGAATCTGGGTCTTGCAGATTCATTTGCACTTGGATCATCAACCATCAGGATTTCATAAGTGCTCTTGGACATCCAAACTGTGTCCTAGAGCCTCGGGCTTTGGAGCCAGGGCAACACGGTGCAGGGTGGGGGGCCAAGGCCACATGTGGAGCATCTCATGCTGAGAGCCCATAAATCTGGACAGAGACCCATTTCCTCCACCTGCTTCTTATCCACCAGTGTTTCCTGGAGGGACCCGCCTCTTCTGCTTCTTGGGGGTGCATTCCCTGGAGCCTAGAGTGGGCCCTGGTGGCAGATCTCAGACCCATGGGTGAGGTTGGGATAGATTCAGCCACACCTTCTTACTGGAAAACTCCATGGTCTGGACACAGCTGGAAAGGGCCTGAGATCAGGAAGAGAGCTGGCTCATCTGGGGCCAGGGTCAGTGCTCAGCTTGGGCTTGGGGTCAGGGCTTGGCTTGAGGCCAAGCTTGGGGCTTGGGGCCAGGGTCAGAGGTCAGCCTGGCATTAAGCTCAGTGCTTGCCCTGGGGCCACGTTTCAGCTTGGGACCAATGCTTAGTCTGGAGTTGGGAAAAGGACTCAGGTTGTCTTCTAGGGGAGAGCTTTCTGGGGTCTTGGAATAGGTTAGAGAGGGCTTGGTCTTGGGTCAAGTGTCAGTGGGGCATACAGGTGGAGTCCAGGGCTGACCGTCTGCATCTGAGCCTGAGTACCTTTTTACAGGCCTGGGGGTCTGGGCCCAGGGTAATGCCTCCCTTTGCATCTAGCACCAGACCTGTTTCTGAGGCTGTGCAGAGGGGATTTTGGGCAGCGGGGTACAGAGACATCTGCAGGGTAGAAATTGGATACTTCTCACAAAAGGGGGAACACTGAACTGCCTCCAGCCTCCTGTCTCTGAAAGCCCTGGGGCCAGGCCCTGGCCTGCTCATTCCTAGGGGGCTATTGTTACTCTTACCTCTCCCCTCCTCCTGCAAGTTGTCTGCCTTGCCTAGGTCACAGCTCTGTTACATCCTCCCACGCTACCCAGGCCCTTTGTTCTCTCTCCGTGTTTGTGGGTCTTACCTGGCTTGAGTGGTTTGCCTCCAGGCCCCAGTGCTGCAGAGGAAAGAGATGGAAGTGAATAGGGGCCCAGCCCACCTGCGCTACTATGTATCCTCCCCCTACCTTGGGCAGAGTGAGGGCACCCCAGGTTTTAAGAGGCTCTCAGAGAGGGTCCTCCCTTGGGATACAGAGCCACCAATAGCCCAGCTCTGCCCTGGATCTGTGTTACTCTCTCTGAGCCTCAGTTTCTCAGCCTCAGAAGAGGAAGGCAGTATCTACTCAGCAGGCTCAGCAGGGATGTTTTTGAGGATCAAAAGATATATGAAAGACTGCAGAGGTCACCAGGCAAAAAGCCTGGTGGGCCAGTGGGTTCTGGCTCTCAGACAAGGCTCTTCCCCTGGATACTTGATCTGTGAGACCAGGGAGCCCTTCATGCTTGGGCATTCTGGGGTTCTCAGAGCAGAAGATGTGTGACACCCAGACCCCTTCAGGCAGGAACCAAGTTTGAGCTCACCTCCTCCTCCCAGGCCTCCGAGACCAGCCCCTGTTTTGAGAGAATAGATAGAGAGTGAGAAAACTATCAATACCTCAGATAAGACCCCCATCCCCACTCTAGCCATGACCAAGTACATCACTGCCTGGTTATATGATCCTGGGCAAGTTCTAGCCTCTGTGAGCCTCAGTTTCCTCATTTGGCTCATTAGGCCGATAGCCTTTGCCTATTTATGTTTGAGAGAGCTCCCGCACCCCACTTGCACATCAGTTCTGAATACACAAGTTTTTTTTTTCTTTATTTTTTGAGACAGAGTCTCATTTTGTCATGCTTGGTAGAGTGCTGTGGCATCACAGCTCACAGCAACCTTAAGCTCTTGGGCTTAAGTAATTCTCTTGCTTCAGCCTCCCAAGTAGCTGGGACTTCAGGCGTCTGCCACAATGCCCGGCTATTTTTTTGTTGCAGTTTGGCCGGGGCCAGGCTTGAACCCGCTACCCTCAGTATATGGGGCTGGCGCCCTCCTCATTGAACCACAGGCGCTGCTCACACAAGTGTTTTTTAAGTACTGAAAACATTACTTTTGACTTTTCAATCTACTTGAAACCATTATGCTTCCCCCACCCCCCAAAATTAAAAGATTACTGCTATTCTGCCCATTTTGTTTTGGGGAGGGGATGCTCCCAATCTCTATCTGCTCATAGTCATTGCTTTTACACTATTTTTACTTCAAAAGTACTTCCCCCCTAAAAATAAAAACAAAAGCAAACAAAAAATATTTTAAAAATACTTCCCCACATTTCATGACAGACAGCAGCATATTAATACTTTTTACAGCTCCCTAATAGTTCAGATTTAACTCAATCACATCCTCCAGTAGGGTGGGTTTTCTTTCTCTCTCTCTTTCTTTCTTTCCATGTCTTGCAAATAACAGTCCTATGAACCTGGTGCAGATTGTTCTTTTCAATTATTTCCTTTGTATGGGCTCCCAAGAGTAGGATTAATGGTTTGAAGACTGCGGACCTTCTAATGCAGGAATGCGTGAAGGTGCCCGCCTCCCGACAGCCTCCCAAGCATTGCATTTCATCTTTCAGAGAATGTTCCATCTTAGGGACTGCAAAACAGTGTCATGTTAACTGCATTTTTAAGTGGGCATCATTTCTGGGTCCTTGGGTAAGCATGTTGGTGTTGTTACTTTCTGCAGTGTCAAAATGTGCATGGCTTACTAACATCATTGCCTGCCTTACCTGGCTGTGTGGAAGTTTCTGGTACATTACCTGGATAATAGACTCCACCGGGAACTCCGCCAGGAACAGCCCCTGGGACCCCTGGAAGGAAGCAGGTAGAGTCCTTCATTAGCCAAAACTAATAAAAGCACGGGAACAAGGATGGTGACAGTGGTGCTAATGATATTGCTGGTCTCCAGAGCAATTTCTGTTGGCCAAGTGTATTCTCATTCTTGCTCCACAAAGTGGTCCTGTGAGGTTTGACGGGCAGGGCTTATTATTATTGTTTTAACAGATGTGAAATCAGGCTCAAAGGGGGTCACGGATGTCCTTGGGGCTACATCACTGGAAAGAGATGCAGCCTGTATTCACACTTAAGCCACTCCTCTGAGTAGGATGGTCCATGAGGTGGTACCTGGCTCTCCTTGGAGGCAGGGACCTGTGGGCAGGGAAGGGCCCAGTGGGGGCTGCATCTGAGCATCTCTCACAGGGAAGCCCACTCTCCCTTGCTCTGAGCAGCTGGGTAGTTAGGAGATGCAGCTGCTGCCAGCAAAAATGCAGCCATTCCCACACTGATAGGATGGCGTGAGGTCAGCATCCTCAGCCACTTGCCCAGTGCTTGGGTGGGGTTCTGGCTAGCTGACACAGGGCTGTCTTAGGAGGCGCCGGGGCCGCAGGGGGACACCATGAATGAGCAAAGTGAATAGTTTCCTAAGGAAAAGCTAATTCACTGGCCAGGCAGGATCATGAGTTCAGTCCCCATGGACCAGTGAAGCTGTCACTGGGGAACACTATGATGCTGGCCCCATATCCAGGCCTGGGCCATCACCATGGCAATAGACCGGGTCTCAAACTGGCCTCTGGCTCCACCCTAGAAGTCCTCCTTACCAAGGCCCCTAGCACAGTCCCTGAACCACTCTGCTGAAAGGGGCTGGAGGGGTCTTGTGGAGCATAGGAGGGGCTGGGAGCCATGTCAGACGGCTTTACAGTGTGTTCAGACGTCTGGACTCCATGGCCTGGCGACGCTGCACAGCTGGGCTTGCTGGGCTTGCTGGCCTCAGGGCTCCTCAGCTGCAGCCCAGCAGGATTGGGGATGCCGAACTATCACGGCCACCCTGTGCCAAAGCTCCGGCGCCATCCCCCTCCAGGGCCTGTGGACCCCCCCCCCACCCCAGGGACTGCAGTCCAGGCCTGGAGTATGCAAGCAATCTGGTCAGCGCCTTGGGGCCCAGAGAAGTGGCCCAGAGAGGGCTGGGCCTGCTGGGAATGGACGCTTGGCCCTGTCATCAGCTGCCAAGCCCACACATGGCCTGCCTGGAGCCTCTGATGCCTTCCCTGGCTCCAGCCTCCAGCTCTCAGCACTGTCTCTTGTATGTTGTGCTCGGCCTCGGCCTCTCTCCTTCCTTCTCTGTCTCTCTCTATCCCTCCTTCCTCATGGCCCTCTCTCCCCTCCTTTTTGCTCTCCAGGTCCAGAGAGGACTGCAGAGAATGTGTAATGGGAAGAGAAAGTGAGGGGCTCAGAACAAGCCACTCTGGCTTCTTAATCTTGCCCTTGTCCCTTTTTAACACCAGTACAAACTTGGGCAAGTCACACAACCTTTCTGAACCTCAGTTTCCTTTCTTGCAATGTGGGGCTAATAGTCACTGCATTGCAAGGTTGCTATGAGTTATCAGAGGGTTCAGTTAAGAGGCCATGTCCTGTCCTGGATCTGGCATAGAGTAATTGCTTTAAAATAAAAAGATAGTGACCCTGAATTTCCATTTTATCCCACTTTGCTACACAGTACACACTCAAGGCCAGTAGGTACTCAATAAATAATGCACCTACTGGCCTTGGGTGCCAATAAATGAGTTAGGTGGAGGGGAGGCAAGGAGGTTGCCTCTGGATCTGACTCTAACCTGTTTCATCCCCAGCTTCCTTAGGGGTCTCTCTGCCTCAGGCTTGTTGAGCCATCTGGATTGGCTGGACTCTGAATGCCTTTCTCCTGAGGTTCTGCTCTCCCACACCCCACCTGTGGCTAGGTCCTTTCTAGAGGAGGACTCAGCTCGCCTCCCAACCCCCACTCTCCCCTTCTCCCCACTCTCTACCTCCATGATCCAGATCCCAAAAGTGTTTGCCAAACTCTGTGCCTGAACCATGACAGTCTGCAAGCTCAAGATTTGGATCCCCACTTTGTACCAAGGAAACAGAGATGGTTTAGGGACTGCAAAGGATCCTTGCCTGTGTTTCTTTGAGGGTAGGAGGGAAGAGCCTAAAACAAGACAGGAGTTGATCAAGGGCCTTTGAAAAGGTAGCAGCCTCCTCTCCATGCTCCATGGGCCAACCTCACCCCACCTCCACTCCTTGGCACCAGCAGCACGTCCTGCCAGGAATGCCCTCACCTCTATCCAAATCCTACCCTCCCACCAAGGCTGAGCTCAGACGCTTCCTCCTGCTTTCCCTGAGCCTGTGGCTCTCCCTGACTGTGCTGCTCAGCTGGCCCAAAGCAGTTGGCCTGGAGAATGCTTGTCTTGTTTTATGTGGGTTTGGCTTGTTCCACCGACTAGCCCAGGGTGGAACTTGTCTCTTGCATCTTAGAATCATGATCCTAGACTCTCAGGGATCATAACAGTCTTCTGGCTGGGCTGAAACGCCTTCTGCAAACATCCCTCGTGCCTCTGCTTGCACACCTCTTGTGACAGGAAAATCGTCCCCTCCCAATACTGTCAGCTTTGCCTGAAGAAACGTCTTCTGCCTATGGAGATAGAATCGGTTTCTCTGTTCCTCCAATTCCACTTACCAGAGCCTCAGAGATGGAGGCTCACCCCTTATCCACTGACAGCCCCTCAAACATTTACCTTTCTTTTAAGGTCTAACTCAAATGTCACTTCTGCTATGAAGCCTTCCAGGATTTCCTGGAGCACCCCCAGTCTTATCTGCTTCCCCCATCACTGCACATCTATTTACATATCCTCGGCCCCACATTAGACCAAACATAGTGTGAATAGCAAGAGGGTGAATTAAACCTTAGAAATGTGCACTAATTACAGCATGAGTTAGCAGATTCTGAGTAAGAGAACATACTATTTTAAAATGAACACCCCCATGGCCCTCTTACATGATGCATTTTGTGCAGATATTGCATTGGACCTCCCTCCAGCCCAAGGAGATGCTTCGGGCAGGGATGTTTCTCCCCATTTTGCAGCCAGGGAAACAGAGAGCCAGTGAGATGAAGTGCCTGGCTGCAGACCCGCAGTTGACCCCGGTCACATGCAGGGCCTTCTGCCCAGGGCCTGAGCTCCAGGTTCAAAGAGAGGGGGCAGCAGTCCAGCTGGCTTTGGCAGGGGGCTTTGCCAAGCCAAAGTCCAGGGGGCCAGCTTGAAGAGCAGATAAGACTGCACGAAGCTGTTTGTTGTTTGCATGGAGAAGGCTGCCAAGGGTTTTTCAAAAACAATCTGACCTTTGATGGGTGACTCTGTCCCCTCCCTCATGGGGGCACATTGGCCCTCCTGCCAAGGCCCAAGCAGATGCACAGAGAGGATCAACCTCTAAACCCAAGCTTCTCAGCCCTGGCGGTTCATCAGCCACCTGGGGAACTTTAAAAGTCTACGTGTCCTGGCCACTCCCCAGACCAAGTCAAGCAGGGATTCTTGGGTGGGAACTCTAACACAGAGCCAGGTTGAAAACCCCTGTTGCAAAGCAGCTTCATTTCTGAAATCAGGAGGAAAAAACCCTGATACTATTCCTAGAGGATGGAGAGTGGATTATACTTAGTTTAATTTCTCAAGCTCTCTTTTTATGGGAGACCAGGCAGCTTGTTCTTCCCTGGAAGCTCTCTGTGCCCCCCTCCTTCTCCTCATTGTAACACTCTTCCTTGGAGCTGGGGGAACTCAAATAAGTGACATCTTCCTCTTTGAAGGGAAGGTGGGCTCCCCCAGGATAGTCAGGATGCCAGGAGAGGGTTCACTCTGCTGGTGGCATGTCTGCCTTAGGGCTCAGTCCCATGCCTGCCCCTCTCTAGATGTTATCTGGTACCTCCCTCCCATCCACTCACCCTTTGACTGGGGCAGAGATCTGGCCAGTACTAACTCCCAGGGGCTGCCTCAGTTTCCTCATTTGTAAAGTGATGATGATTCCTGACTCTTGAGGTTCCTATGAGGATTACCTGCCATGCTACATGTGGCAGCACTGACTAGGAGGGTGGGCAGCTGGGGGTAACCCTAGGAAGGAGCTGCTGGCCTCAAGTGCTGGCTTGCTCCTCTTGCCAGGCCTTGCAGCTTGGTGCCCACATCCCTTGGCCTCATCCAGGTCTAGGAGTGGACACTACACAGGAAGCTCCTGCTCCCAGCGGCAGCCCAGCCGGTCAATCTCACGGAAGCAGCTGCTGCTTCTCCAGCCCTCTGACCCCCCCTGCTCCACCCTGCAGCCTCCCCCTGAGTAAAGGTCTGGTTCTCATGGCAAGGAGGACCCCCATGGGAACAAGACCCCACCCCAGCTCCCTCAACTGCATGGCCCATGAGCTACTCCTGGCTCTTCCCATGGCCTCTCCTGTGTCCCCCAGTTGGTTGCTGCATAGCAGTCCCACAGGGTGCCCCCTGGGGCCTAATAGCTAGCTATGCTCAGGTTGGAGCACACACCAGGTGGTCCAGCAATGCCCTAAGGTCCACTGTAGCCTCTGCCACCAGCTGTACTCTCACCAGGAGATAGATACTTTCCCCAGCTTGCCTTCCTCCGTTCACAATGCACATACAGACACACATATGTGCACACACTCAATCACACACAATGACATACCTGGACACAAGGTCTCCCAGGTGCATGTCTGTCAGGTGGCAGATGTCTGCACACATTACCAAGCACTTTCATATACCCCTCCCATGCATACATATATGGATGAACCGGTGGACAGACATTCATACCCCCATAGACACCCCACCCCATCCAGTGACACAGCTGGGCATATGCACATATGTGCACCTGTGCAAGAGCACACAGCACACTTGTTCATGCAGACATGTACACGTGTGTGCACACACAGGAATCCCAGCCTCTTCACAGGGACAGACCATGGCAGCATCTTTTCAACCTGCAATCTCATAATCAGTGTGACCCTGACCTGACATCCTAGGAGCAAAGAACCTGGTGAGGTCACACAGCTCATTGTGGCTGAGTTGCTCTCAAACCAGGGTCCCTGTCCCCAGGGCTGGCATGCACGCTCCACTGGACCCACAGGTGTGCAAGCCGCCAGTGCTCATAGGCCAACAGGGTTGCCCTTGGCAAGGAGGGCATCCAGGTAGAGCAAGGACCCCTGGTAGCAAAGGCAGGACACTGGGTGGGGAATCCTCTTGAGTCAGGGGTGACTATTTAACGGGTACTTCCTCAGCAAGGGGCTGGCTTTTGGGAGGACAGTTCTAAGGATCCTGTGGCCAAAAGGGGTCCTGCCTGGAACCCCTGGAGGAGCTGGACGAGGGCTCCCTCTGGTGAGTCCAGCGGCTGCAGCACGGGACAGGTCGGGGTGAGGGGCCCTTACCTCCAGGCCGAGAGGGGTGGAGGATGGACAGCAGGAGCAGCAGGACTCCAGGCCGCAGGGCTGCCGCTGTCAGACCCGCCATCTCGGGGAGAAATGCCCCAGCCCGCTCTCCGCACCTCGTTTTATCCCCAAAGCGTAATTGCTGCCTGGTCGGCTGGAGGGAAGGAGGGAGGGAGGGAGGGAGGGCGGGGAGGGCGGGCGGAGGGGGGCCGCGGGAGGGGCAGTTACGAAAGGCCGCAGCCTGCCGTGGGTCCCACGGGCTGTGGGCTCTTTCCTGCACACACGCGCACACACGCACACACGCACACTCACTCTTCCCGACTCTTTCCCGCTTTCCTTCTGTGGCTGTTCTCTCGCTGCTGGCCCTGTTCCCGCCAGAAAGTGCGAGGGGGGCCTCTGCCAGGACAGCCCTCGGGAGAGGAAGCAGGAGGGAGGGCCCGGCGGCCCGGCCAAAAATCCTGGCCCCAGCCAAGGTCTGAGCGGCCAGGCCCCCGCCCCTCCGGCTGGGCCCCGGGCCCAGTGTGGGGACACAGGCCAGCTGTCCCGCGCCTCGGCCCCCACCCCGGCCCTCCAGACTCTCCCCAACACCCCCAGGTCTGGCTAGAGACAGGTTCTGCCCAAAGCTGGGGAGGAGAGGTATCGGCAGGGCTGTGGGTTCCAATGTCTGTAGTGGCTGAGGGGCTGCAGGCAGAGTGGCCTGGAAGTTAAGATCAGGTTGGTGTTGCTCTGTAGGCGATCCAGCGAATGCAAGGGGACACTGACATATAGCAGGGCTCCATTCTGCAGGGGCCAAGGTCTCAGTCTCCTGCTTGAAGCTGGGGAGGGGTGTCAGGCAGGTCTGGGGTCCATGCATGTAGAGGCCAGGAGGCTGCAGGCAAGGGATGGCCTGGAAGTTAAGGCCATGCTAGTGTTGTCCCCTGGGTTTCTGGAGCACATGGCGGACCCTGATATGCAGACTTCATGCTGCATGGGCCAAGGTCCCATCCCCACCCCCAGATCTGTGTCTGGCAAAGGTCAGTGGACCCCCAGAGTCCCCAAGGGGGAAAAAGGGGACGGGAGCCTTATCAGAATGAGAAGCAGCCTGGCCTCCTCGTTCTCACTGAGCTACCGCCCATCCCATTGCTGAGCACCCCTAGTGCCCTGGCCAGACCTGGGAGCCCACAGACTGCAGGTTCTCACTGTCCCTCTGGGAAGGGCCGCCATTCCTCTGGTGGCCAGGAGGGGGCGGCCTGCTCTGAAACAGCTGGGACAGCACCACAGGGGAACTCAAACCATTCTAGTCTGCTGGCCTGAGCAGGATGGGAACTGTGGGAGTTTAGGGGGTGGGATGTGCGATGAAGCAAGGTGGATCATGTCCTCAACCCTCGCTAGTGGGGAAGAAGTGTAGGAGCCAGAAGATAGGCGAGGGAAACTGGTTGTTTGCTCGTAGAGCTCCTGTGTTTTATTCACAGCCAGTTGGGGACAACTAGAGGCCATGTGTCCTGTGGGCTTCTCCCTGCACCAGCATAGGTTTGAGGGACACATTGGATGCTGGTTATTCAGCCAGGAGCATGGTGGTAGTTTGGAGCTCCTGCAGGGGTGGTGGCCAGGAGTGGACAGGTCAAAGGCAGGCATTGATCTTCGGTAGACCTAGAGCTAAATTCTGGCTCTAAAACTTTCTGAGGGAGGGGGCAAGTAGCTTCTCCATAGAGCTTAATTTTCTTCATCTGTCAAAGGGTGATAAACATCCCTAGCTTGGAGGGTTGTTGCAAAGACAAATGAAATATGGTCACATATTTTTGCACCATGATTGCTGGATCAATAATGCATTGTATTCATTTAGCACTAGTGCCAGTATTAATACTATCATTGCAGACACTGGGTCTGCAAGTGCCACTCCTGTTTTTAGTGTGGCTATAAAATGTAGCTCTATATTGGGCCACCCTGGGACCCTGGACAATCCCTCCTTTTCCCTGGGTCTCTGGCATTGGCAGCTCCAGAATTTTGGCAGGGGGATGTGCTAGGGGAATTGTCTTGAGGCTGTGCTTGCAAATAACAGTGTGTGTTTATTGGGGGTAGCTGACGGAGATTTTGTGGGGCCATTGTTGGTGAGGGTAGGGCACTCAGGCGGAGTCTCAGGCTGGATGCCTGGGATATGCCTGTGGTGGGGAGGGGAGGTCAGGGGTGTACTTATGTGCCTACCCCCTCCCAGGAAGGGGAAAGAAGAGGGTCCTTGCTGGGGGAGCTGGGCCCCATTCCTCTCGGGGCAGTGACGTGGGCAGGAACCAGCTTTCAGACTTGCAAACCGCAGTCTGCTTGGAGTCTTTATTAATTCCAGGATGGGGAGAGAGTCTGGGGCCAGCTGGAGGGAACTTACAATAGGGGACCCAGGAGCAGTGTGGAGGGGCACTTGCAGGGGTGGGCTTGAGAATGTCCCACTGACCTCTCTCCCCAGGGCCAGAGCCCTGTGTCCTGTCTCCAACCTGTGTCCCCCTTTCCCTACAGCAGCCTCTGCGAATTGCAGGGGCCCTGCTTATACATGTTCCACAAGGCATCTGTATGCCTCAAAAGGGGGCCTCAATTCAGAATCAAATCCACTGCCCTGATCATCCTGTGCAATTTAGCTGAACGCATGAAACTCATCATGCAAGGACTGGGGATTGCGGTCCTCCACCACCATTCATTTATTCATTCATTTCCTTGTGCATTCAAGAAGCCCATCAGTCCTCCACTGCATGGTGCCACCTCCCTGCCTAGCTGTAGGGATGAAATAAGGTCACACATGCAGAACCACCCACCGAAGACTGCCTGGTGCGCCTGGCTGCTTGGCGAGCATTGGCTTCACCGATACTGTTGACAAGCCTCACCCTCCTACTTGCTGCATGGCTCGGTGCCACTGAAGGACACTCAGGTAAGTCACTCATAAGGCCATTTTTGTCCTCCAGGGTCTCCAGGTGCACCCATTTAGGAAGGACAGAATTTTCATCCTCCGCATGGCTCTGAGAATGGCATTGCTTTGCTCAGAAACCCACGGTTGCCATCAAGATAAAGTCCAGACTTCTGAGTTTAGCTTTCAGAGCCCTGCACCACCCAGCTTGACCTGCTCTCCTGGGTGGAAGCTGCTACCCAAGGGTTCAAGGTAGGATTGGGCCTCTGACTGGCCTCTTCTGTCTGGTGGATCTGCTTCCCAGACCCCAGAGTTGTCTTGAAGGTCTGAGCCCTGGACTTCTGGTGATGAAGCACTCTGATCTCAGCATGTGTTAGCTTCCATCACTCTGGGTCTGTCCCCCATCATTTAGCCCCCAGCATCCCTGTTTCCTGGGCCCCTCTGAGGATCCTTAGTGTGTGGGTTCTTCTGGGCTGAGCTAGGGTGCTTCTTCTTATGCCCCGCTGGCCTGGGCATCACAGAAGGTGGTTTGAAGGGGAGCCCATTTCTGTCTCCCTTGCAATCCACTGGTGTTGGATAATAAACATAGATGTGCTTTCCAGCAGACGGGGACAGAGGCTGCTGGTGTGGACAGACCCCCCCACCCCAGACTCTGTGGGATATGGCTTCTGTTTTCTTCTTTGGCTAGGCATGGTCCTGTCATCTGTTGAGTGCAGGACCCACTACTGCCTGGGAGCCTGGGCCAGTAAGAGGGAGAGATGGGCTGCTGGTCTAGCCTGGAAGAACTTGGGATCAGTCAGCTGTGGAAGGTGCCACTGTCAGTCGTTCATACCCACATGTGAGTGAAGGACCCTCCAGCCAGCCCCAAGGGAAATAGAATCAACATTACACTAACAGGGTAGTGTGCACTTCTCATATGGACCAAACTGAGGTTGGGGAAGGAAATGAATGATGGTTAGGTGGTTACCGATGTGGAAAATTAGCAGCAAAGCAGAGCCAGGCCCTCCAACCCCCGCCCTGGGATACACACAGCTCTTCTTCCCCATCCCTGAGAACCAGCTGCAGACATTGAGGCCCAAACCTTTCCCTTTTCTGACTTCAAACTTTCTACTAGCCATATAAAATAAAACATAAGTATAATCACTTTTAACAATATTTAACCCAGTATGTCAAAAAATATCCCTTCAACATATAATCAATATAAAAATGATTAATGAAATATTTTGCTTTCTTTCTCCTAAGTCTTAAAACTAGTGTGTATTTACATTGAGAGTGTACCTCGATTTGGGTAGTTACATTTCAGATGCTCAGTAGCCACATGTGGCCAGCAGCCAGGACAGTGCAGTTCTGGATTGTGAGAGAACAAATGAGGATGAGCCCAGCTTAGCTATGATGGGTGAGGAGGGAATCTAAAAACACCCAAGGATGGATGCTGCTACCCAAAGTTTCTTTCTTTCTTTTTTTTTTTTTTTTGAGATAGAGCCTCAGGCTGTCCCCCTGGGTAGAGTGCCGTGGCATCACAGCTCACAACAACCTCCAACTCCTGGGCTCAAGCGAGTCTCCTGCCTCTGTCTCCCAAGTAGCTGGGATCACAGGCACCCACCACAATGCCTGGCTATTTTTTGATTGCAGCCGTCATTGTTGTTTGGTGGGCCTGGGCTGGATTTGAACCCACCACCTTACGTGTATGTGGCTGGTGCCTCAGCCCCCTGAGGCACAGGTGCTGAGCCTACCCAAAGTTTCAAGGTAGGATGGGGCTTGAGGACAGGGGTAGAGAAAGAGGGTTGTCCTTGAGGGCCAGCGGAGAAAGGCTTGGGGTGCACCCACAACAGGCAACCCCAGGGGAGAGGCCCTGCCCTCTTGATGCTGGTGACTGAACCAGAGTGGGCAGCCAACTACGGTGGGGTACCCAGCAGCACTGGCCCACAGCCAGCACCTTGGCTGGAAAATGAGGAGGGGCTTCTGCAGCTCCTCTGTCCCCAGAGGCAGTGGGGGACCCCACTGATGGCAGAAAAGGCCAGGAAAGGAAGGAGTCTGGTGCGGGTGAATGGGTCAGACTTTGCTAGCAGTAAAGGGTCTGCAGCAAATGGATTGGATGAAGAGTGTCTGGGCCATTTGCTGGGTGTCACTTTATCACACCAGATTGGCCCATGGGAAGAACAGGCTGTGTTCCCAAAGGGTTCTGGAAGTTATAGAAGTGAAGTTGGAATCCAGCACAGGGTGCTTCTGTAACCTCCAGGTGGGGGTGGGGTGGTCAGTGGTCATCACTGTGATTGTGATTGAGACTAGTACTGAATAGTTTGTGACGTTGAGTGGATTACCTAATAATAACCTAATAATGGTGACATCAATAATAATTAACCCCAGAAGCCCCAATTTCCTCCCATGGAGACAGGGGTCTTCATAAACATTTCTGATCAAAAACTCCTACCTGTGAGAATCTAGCATACAGGAAATACTCAAACATGGGGTGGGAGCCAGGACACCACTTCAGGGAAC